GTTGGTGTGGATCGTGGATGCAGATGAAGATAAGCTTTAATATGGACATTTATAAAGTTTGTATATGTAACCACGTTTCAAGTATTTCCGCTACGTACATTAATTATTGAACTTGCATTTTAAGAAATTTTAGATTTATTGTTTTTAAAATTATGATAATTATGATTATGTATTTTAAATGTAAGTTTAAATGAAATCTGTTTTTATGTTTCAGTGAAGTATTAAATGATAGTTTAAAGAGAAACAGATTTTCAAGAAGATAAGTTGAGTAGCATCCCGAGTTAGTTGCCAAAGATTTCGAAAATGTTATAAATAGTTTCGAAGTAAAAGTTGCGAAAAATTTACTCTGATAAGCGGGGTGTTACACGTGCCACTAGTCGAGGCATCCGACTGCTCCAGATCCTCAATAAGAAGGTCATCATCGTCTAAAAGAAGAAGGTCTGAAGACCTACGGGGGTCACTGGTAGAGGGCTCAGTCTCATCCTCTGCCTCAGGGGAGAAGACCGCAAAGAACGAGTGATTGGCCTTAAAGGCCGACTGTAAGTTATCTCTGGGGAGGAAGCCCGAGGCCTTGGCCTTGGGCCCTACTGTAGCCAACTGCTTAGGCTGGTTAGGATGAGCATCCTTCCCAGTTTGGGCAGTGGCGACCATCACAGCCTTGCCCTTATCCTTGGCCCCCTTTTGGGACCCGGGCGCATAGAGAGGGCCTTTGCCCTTTCCCTTCGGGTCCCTCCGGCCGTTGGAGGGTCCCGGCTGAGTCGCACTGCGGCGCTGAGGCAGAGTGGGTCGTGGCTTATTGCCACTAATGTAGCAATCAACCGTTATATGCCCCACATGGCTGCATGAGGTACAGAACGCGGGGATCTTCTCATAGATCACCTGTTAAGCGAAAGTCTCCGAACCCTTCTCAATCTCAATCTCATGGACAAGCTTAACCTTGAGATCGATCTCAACACAAAACCGTGCCACATTAGCCCTCGACTGGAGGGCTGTCGGGTCATCAATGCGGACCAGTTTTTCGACACACTTTGCAAGTGTGGTGATGGAAT